TTAGCGTAGCTGATACACAAGCTACACTACTGGTTAGTGTAGCGTTTTTGACAACTAACACCGCTACAACATCACTAACAGGAAATTTGGACAGTGTTAGTTCTATTTTGTGGGGCTCAACTAACGCTACACTAACGCTACATTTTTGTTTTCAAAATCCTGTAGCGTTAGTTGTCAAAAATTAGCACTAACAGTAGCTTTATTGTAGTGTAGCTTAATATGCTAGCACTACATGTAGCGTAGCTGGCCCACCGTTGTGTGTAGTGTGAGTTGTTATCCCTCCGGTTGTTTGAGGCTGAGGTGTCACAGGTCGCGCAAGGTCGGTTTTTTTTTGTGAAACTTTCAGGGAGTCTATGATTGCAATCTAGTGGTTTACGAATCGCGGCCCTTTGGCCAAGTGGTAAGGTGTTCTCCTCCGGCGGCGCCCGTCGGCGCAGGCGAGAGAAAGATCGCAGGTTCAATCCCTGCAAGGGTCGCTCTTTTGTTCTCCCTTGCACAGCCCTGGCTCGGTGATTTTATGAAATATACAAGAAAGAATTTACCCGCGGAGCGGAATAATGCAAAGGTATTGATTATAGACGTATTGCAAAGGGATTGATTATATGATGTGACTGAATTCTTCTGTCCACGGGCTCAGGAGGGCTTAATGGCGCCAACAAAATCATACACAGAGAGGAAAGAGACGGATTGGGTATTCTTCCATGCCGACTGGTTATGGGTCCGGTGCAAGCTCATCCGGAGCTGCGTTAATTGACGCTAGCTATTGAGGGCCTCGTCTCTTTTACAGGGTAGATGACCCCTTCTCTTGTTATCTATGAGCTTGTTTTTTTCTCTGTTGAATGGTTTCGCTCCAGGGTTTCACGTCATGAGGGAGAGAGATGTTAAGAGGTCCACAACCTGCTGCGCGATATGAGAAAACTGTTGAATCGCCTGCCGCTCTCCTTTTCTCTCGACCACCCTAAATAAAAGGGCCCATATCCACCATCCATCTGGTATCAGCAAAGCGGAATGAAAAGATACAACATCGATGAGGGCGAAAGATCTGCGCCTGGAAAAAAAAGGAGAGCTTTCAAGAAGTAGACCAGAACCTGAAAACAATTTGATAAATAAATAATGGAAAGCGATCATGAAGCTTGAGGGTTCTGAAGAGAAAGAACCTTAGACAACAAGTATATTCTAGAAATTAGATGCAAAACGAGATGATAGCAGACAACAGAGATCATGAAGAACAGTAAGGAGACAGAGAGATGGGGAGTATGGAGGTCATGCTACAGGTCTCGATCCACCAACACAGATCGAGTTGATAAACACGGAGCCAATATTCCGGTCGTCACCCTAACCTCAATCGTCCCAAGAATCATCAGCTTTCTATTGGTTTTCTTGCATTAGATTGTTACTGTTCAATTTCACCCAAGACGATATCTCAAAGGAGGAGTAGAGAGAGGGTCAACTGACGGTAAATAAGAATTTCTCCAATAGGCTGCACAGGTCGATTTCCTCCCTTTGGTCATCGATCAAGAAGTTAGGGTTGGAGCCATCGAGATAAGGCTCCGCTTGAGAGGCGAGAATCCATTCTGAGAACCGATCATCATCACCATGATTTGAGCACTGGGTTTGACCATGAGGAAGTGTAGCTGCAGCGGCGCCGGTCTGGATGAGGAGACCGTCGAACACTTTACCGGGCGCGAAGCTACCCACGCGGTGCTCTAGATTGCAGACTCGGGCGCCGCCTAAAGTGGCCAAATAAACAAGGTTCTCGATCGATAGTTGTTGAGAACGGTCGCGGGCTGTGTGGTGGCCAGCCGGTGCGGAAATCCCGAGCGCCTTAGCGGCTAAGGCCGCGTCCCTGATCGTGCTCAGGATGCCCAGCCCGTATCCTCCAGAGACGTCCGTGCCGAGACTAAGCTTATCGAACCCGGCTTCTAGGAGAGTCTGGATGGGGCAGATCCCGGAGCGCAGGTTGAAGTTTGACGTCGGGCAATGGCTCAGGCCGCACCCTCGCTCGGCAAGCAACTTCAGCTCGCTCGGCTCGAGATGTATGCAATGGGCCAAGATCGTGCGCTGGGTCAAGAGCCCAAACGAGTCGTACACTTCGCTATACGTCGAGCAAGTCGGGAACAGTTCCTTAGTATACTCGATCTCCGAATGCGATTCGCTCAAGTGAGTTTGCAGGCAAAGCTGGTCGTCCAACTTCATCAGCTCCCCCAATTTTTGAAGTAGCTCCCCAGTGCAGGAAATTGCGAAGCGGGGAGTGAGGATGGGTTGTACCATCGAATCTCTCCACTTTTCACATTCCGCCCGCGCAACCTGGCAGCCTAGGCTAGAAGAGGATAACGTTTTTGCGGACTCTACTGACTTGCCGGGCGGATCGTGATCCCGATTGGAACCATGAAAGGGTCTCGAGCACTCCTTGCGGACAAAGTCGATGAACTGAATAGTATCTTGCAATGACTGCTCGGCCGAGACTTCTTTGTACTGATCTACGTAATCGTTGCGATCCATCTATGACGAAACCAATCCATAACCTTAAAGCACATGTGAGCAAATTGATCGATCTGATTAAAGTGCTGGTAATGGTGGAGTAAACTAATGAAAATCTTACGTTGCATTTTCCAATAAATGCTCTTTGGCCAGCCTGGTGACAGACCTTCGCCAGAATCTTGGCCGCGCTGAGGTGGAGCGAGCTGTAGTAGCAACACGTCGTGGTCCCCACGCGGATCGAGCGGCTGACAACTTTTTGAAACATCCGCTGTGCATAGAGCTCGTCCTCAAACCTCATCTCCTCGGGAAAAGTCACATATTTCAACCAATCAAGTACTGATGTAGGTTGAAGAGAGAAATCGTCAGACGATCAACCCTGTTGATAAATTTTTCATACCTCCGCTTAATGAGATTTCATACACGTATATTGCTGGCCAATACCAATGTTCTGGTATTGCACGGCATCTGAGTGGGTATGGAGTTGAATGTCATCAGGTTCTTTTTTTCTTCTCTTCATATCTTACCCTCAATTGACGAAATGTGTCAGAATGATGATGACGAGGATAGGGAGTGACGGACGGGTATGAGTATCCACGAAGCCTGGGATAAAAAATTCGCCTCTTCGCAAGGCGATCAATTTGACTGCGTTTTGCAGGTCGGCCAACGAATCTGGCGCTTTATCGGCCAAACACAGCCTGAGTTTTGCTGTTAAAGTTTCGAAGGTCCAGGGATAAGAGGAGGATTCGAGACAGACTATTGTGCCAGACGAGTCGATGATCATGAGGCCGTTTTGGTTAATTAACTCGAGCCGATCAATCGAGGTTGAGTGTATGAAGCTCCCCAGGATGACGATGGGCTTCTGCTGTCTTCTTCCACGGTAAGATGCCTCGTGGTGCTCCATTTTGGCCTCTTGAGCTTATACTCGATGGTGTGACTTTTTACACGAGGCTTTATCTGCGTCTCGACAATGTGAAAATTGACTTGGGCGATTGGCACTTCGAAAGACTAAGAGAGAACCACAAACGAGACATATTAGCTCAATTTGCCATCGCTGATGGTCGTCATCAACAACGAACCAATGGAGGGAAGTGTCTTCTTGGGTTGGATAGATCGAGTGAAGCGGGTTTTCGTCAGGTGAGAGTAACCACGATGAAAAGGGATGGATTCGGTTTTTGTGCTTGACAAGATTGTTCTCTGCAAGTTTCCCTTTTTTCCTGTTGACCGCCCCAGTCATCCAGCGGCGGGATAGAATGACGTCATACCCAAATCACCGCATTCACTCAACCTTTTTTTTTTTTTGAGTGTAATTTGGCCTATGGCATTGCACACTGTTGTACGGGTGTGCAAACTCCACGTTTGGAGTCTCGCGGGGTTATCTTCCCCCGCATCGACATAGCAATAA